GAGGCTGAGGCAGGAGAATCACTTGAACCCAGGAGGCAGAGGTTGCAGTGAGCTGAGATCATGCCACTGCACTCCAGCCTCGGCAAAAAGAGCAAAGCTGCATCTAAAAAAAAAAAAGAAAAACAAACGAAGACTGGAGGGGTAAAGTCGAGCACCTCAACTCTGCCCCAGTGTGAAAGCAGCCAGGGACAACAGGGAACCGAGCAGGATGTGGCTATGTTCCAATAAAAAACATTTTTTTTTGGAGACAGAGTTTCACTCTGTCTCCCAGGCTACGGCATAGTGGCACAATCTCGGCTCACTGCAACTGCCACCTCCCTGGTTCAAGTGATTCTCCTGCCTCAGCCTCCCGAGTAGCTGGAATTACAGGCGTGCACCACAGCGTCTGGCTAATTTTTGTATATTTAGTAGAGACGAGGTCTTACCATGTTGGCCAGGCTGGTCTGGAACTCCTGACTTCAGGCGATCCACCCACCTGGGCCTCCCAACGTGCTGGGATTACAGACATGAGCCACCACGCCCGGTCCCAATAAAACTTTATTTACAAAAACAGGTTATGAGGGAGAAACAGGCCTGTAGGCCAGTTTGCCAACCTTTCTCTAGAAGGATCGAAGCACCACATGCTACTGACCAGGAGGCTTTTCAGCTGCCTTCCAATTCTACATCTGCAGAAACTCAGCACTTCTCCTCCACGGGCCACACCCGACCTCAACTGTCTTGGGAAGAGGTCAGAACAGACCCAGAAGGCAGAAGATGTGTGTGGCTGGTGTGAGGGGCAGAGGCGAGGGTGGGGATTGGCAGGGACAGCAGAAGTGTGAAGAGAAGTAACCGTTTTTCAAACTAGAAGTGAGAGCTGTCATCTGTCATCTATGGCTCTGGTAAACTCTCCTACCACTGGGACGAGAGGAGTGTTCTGGGGCCAAGATTTAAAATCAGTGAATTTGGACAACCTTCGTCCTCTCTGAAATGAGCCCACTGTTTCTCAGCCTGGATGGAACCTTCTATAAAGTTGTCCATCCAGTGTGACTGCCGGGGGACAATATGAATTCAGCTTCCGGATTCCAGACATGGGGAGAGCCCCGCCGGCTCACCGTGGGGGAGTGCCAGTTGAAGCAGTGGGTCCGGAAGTGCAGCAGGGCCTCTGGGTAGCAGCTGTGCCCTGTGAGCGGGGCTCTCTCGGACAGGAGCTGCTCCACCTCAGCCTCGGACGCTGCCAGCAAGGAGACGATCTTGCGCACTGACTTCTCAATGAGGTGCCTGGCCTGGGGAGAAACGCGGCCTGTCAGAATGTGCCTCCCTGAACGCGGTCTCTCGGGGACCCAGGAACAGTGAGAAGTGCATTTCTCCACACAGCCCTCAGCCTCCCGCAGGTTCGAGGAAATAATAATCAATGCATTCCGAGAAAGGCCAAAGATGTCTGTGCCCACTTCTGCGATGGCCAGAAAGACCTGCCTCTTGGGGATCTTCCAGCATGATGCAAACATTTGTATCAAAAAACAACCACTGCGGCCGGGCGCGGTGGCTCACGCCTGTAATCCCAGCACTTTGGGAAGCCGAGGTGGGCGGATCACAAGGTCAGGAGATCGAGACCATCCTGGCTAACATGGTGAAACCCCATCTCTACTAAAAATACAAAAAATTAGCCGGGCG